AAACTCGCCCTTCGGCCACTCTGGCGCTCTCCGAGCGGCTTCGAGGACGGGAGTCCAAGCGGCAACCAGCCGTCGCCGCGCGTCCGCGTCGAGCGGGCCGCCGGTAAAGGCGCGCAGCGTCGCAACGGTGCAGTGCAGAGTGGAGGCCGGGTAGATGTAGGCCTCTGGCGGGAGCGCCGCTCGTAGGCTGGCGGAAAGCTTGGCGTATGCGAGGGCCACCTCTGGCGGCATTGGCCAAGAGCACACCAGCACGGCGCCGCAAAAGTCGTCTGTGCATCGGTCCCCGGCCGCGAGGCGTGCGATGATGGCGTTGTCCCAGCGAGTCGCCATCGGTACGCAGGGTTCCGCGGCTCCTACCCGGATAGGGGGTATGTGCACCACGACTCGCGCCAAAACGCCTTCTACCTCTCTTTCCCAGCCGCGCAGCGAAGCGAAAAAAGAAAAAACTATAGGTTGTCACCGTGGATAGAGAGACCCCCTATCCCTATCCGGGTAGGAGCCGGAACCCAGCTGTCGGTACGGGTAGTGCGGGTGAAAAAGAAAGCGTCGGAGGCTTTTTCTCATTGGGGTGTGCGTTTTTTTCTTTTCGACACTCTTCTCTTCAGGGTGTGTGGCAGCCAGATGGCTGTGTGTCTTGTGAGCCTGTTTGTGTCTGTGTGTCGCTCGTGCGTGTCGTCATCATCTGTCCAGCGTCCACCCATACCGCGTTGGTGTCCAGTCCGAGCCTGGCTGTTCTTCACCTTTCTACCTACCTACCTACTCGGAGGTGGCGGCATGCCGTCCTCCGGAGGGCGATCTTTTCTTTTTTATTTATTTTTGAACTGCTCTGTTCTGTTCCTCGAGGTAACATCGAAGGCTATCAAAAGAAAACCCGAACGGGCGTTGTGTCGGCTGCAAAAGCAATCGTTGGTGCTCGCTTACTCGCGTACAGACAGTGTCCTGGATAGCCCACACCACCGCCTCCCTCTCCACCGCATAGGACATGCTGCTCTGCCCACCAGCACGCGCAACGACGCGAACATCGCTCGAACGGCTCGCAATCAAAACAACCAGCCTCGACGCCGACGAATTCAGCAGCAGCGACGACGAGGCCGACGACACCAGCCCGCCCAAGCGAAAGAGCCTAACCAAACGGATCGACACTGACCACCCAGGCTCGCGGTCAGCGCGGCTCGCACGCCGGCTCCCGAGCGTGGCCGAAGGGAGCCAATCGCTCAAGCTGCCGCGCCGGTCGCTAGCCGCCACCGACCCTTCCTTTTTCACGACGGCAGACCGCTCCTCGCCCGACGTCTCGGCCGATCCACAGATGCCACCATCTCCGGCCGACCCTCGCAAGCAGATGAAGCGCGTGGCGGAGGCGGCGGCCAGCGGGACGAGCTTGGCAGAGCCCGTGCTTGGCACGGCCTGGACAGAGCCTGAGATTGCTCAGTGTGCTCAGTGGACTGAGCCTGTGGGCTGGGCCCATGAGCCCTTCGCTCCAGGCTGGGCCTTCACCGGCAGTTGGACGGGTGGGGCAGTCCCGCCGATGATGGTGTGTCCTCAGCCCTCGGTGCTAGTGCGGATGCCTGTGCAGATGGGGCTGCAGATGGCGCCGATGCAGATGGCGCCGCCAACGTGCTACGAGTATTCGATGC